GACGAACGAACAAGTGCGACGTCGCTCTACGACGATCTCCTACGTGCTCTGTCTACAATTCTCCAAACTCAGCTATTTTCCTATTCTTCCAATACCGCAAGTTATGAACGCGGCCTTACGATGTCCTTTTAAATTTTTTGTTCAGATGCGTTTTTCTGGGGTGACCTTTAACGATAATTGTGCTAACTATTTGAAAACTTGAGTTCAAAACAAGATCGTAATATTCCATTAGTTCGAGCAATCTTTGTTGTTTTTTTATTCAGTTTGGAATTGTTTTTGTGACAATTTGCATTTTTTTCAGTATGTCATCGACAGCCACGCAGCGGACATTGCTGCTTGCGCTGAGCGGTGTCTCTCTAGCAGCTCTCTTCATATGGTATTTACGATCGAAGAAAGGACATGCACCACGACGAGATACATCCATAGAAGATGTGAAACGAAACGCAAAAACGGAGAATACAGACAGCACTACGGTTTGTTTTCAATGCAAATGCCGTCGGTTCCCCCCCCCCCCCTACATTCATTTGAAATTCGTAAGACCGTCTCTATAGCCAGAGCCCAAGCAGTAGAAAGCGAAGAGTTGGAGAACCCTGGATCGCATACGAATAGAGTTCGCCGATCTCTGATTAGGCGGGGTCCATGGGATCGTTTCGTTCTTACCCCCTTCGTATCCTCTGAGACCCTCTCAGCGCTAGAGGGTTTCGAAGATAGTTCCTTCATAGCTTTCATGCATCAAAGAAACTGTGGCTGTAATTGTACTTCATATCCCGAAGATGGGCAGGAGATGGTATAGTGACAATTGGTGCGCTCACCACTGGGTTCAAATCCTGGGTCGACACCCGCCTAGGCCAACCAAGCCTTCTACCCTCCGGGTACGGTAAATTGGTACCAGATTCGTCTGGGAGGATAAAACACTGACTTGTACATCGGCTGGCCACCGCAAGTCATTGTATAGGCCACATCGCATTCAATAAGCCACTACGATTCTGAATGGAAGTAGAATGCGTGCCGCATCCCACAAAGGGATTGATCAACGGCGAAGACTTTATCCTTTATCCTGTTATCTCGGAAATGGGAAAGCGTGGCTGTGTACTTCATTTCGAATATTTCATAGAATGCGATTCCGGGATATTTTCTTTCGAGGCAAATAAGCATTCTGCCTTGTGCTGGACAAATACGCTAGCAGTAGTGCCCCAGAACGGCAATATCCCACCAGCGCAGCCGACGTATGCGAAGGAAG